TTGTTCAGCTCAGCTTCGATGTTGTCGTTTAGCAAGCTCTGCATTGGTCGGTGTTTCGGTTTGCATTCAGGATGGGGGGGCTTTATATTCAGCAGGATATCCAAACTCCGACGAGGCCTGGGGCAGGATCAGGAAATGGACGGATGACGAGCAATGAAGCTATGATTCCCAATCGATACCTCGTAGCATTAGAGTAGTAGAAACTTATTGTTGCAACTTCGCGTTCCATGGATTGCCAGCCTGCTTAGACTGTCTACCGTGTGCATAGGCGCATAGTTTAGCCGACTTTTGAGACCGATTCCTGGTCCTTTGACAAATTTGGTAGGCTAAATTTCTATAATATAGTTATGTTATGTGTGTAAGAGTTGATACGTGGTTACTGTGATCGAGTTCTAGGTTAGTCGGTATAAGACATTTATATTTATATTTGTCCTTTGCTTAACCTATTTAGTAATTCTTTAACTATTTTGGCTTTCTAACCTAAGTGGAAATGGCGGGATCTTAGGGATGAGGTACGTATGACACGGTGTCTTTATGCAATAGGTATCTAGCAGAGAGAACGAATAGGGCATTCCTATTTCAACAATATACAGTTTCGATATTCTTTTTGATAGGTATCAACCGGCTCAGTGCCCGGGCTGCTTTCACAGCTGGAACTAACTTTGAATACCTCGGTTGTATGTCTCAATACTATGGGCTACGTACCCACGTTCCACCTTGCCTAACAAGTCTTCCTTTGTTGAACACTCTCCGGGCCTGCTTCTCATATGTGTTATTCCGAGTCTCACTTTTGAGAATTTCCCGCTCTGCCATCCCAGTCTAATGCTTCCTAGCCGTCTTCCTTTTCCTCCTCCTCATCTTTCTGCCATCCCTTGGCCCGCTCGATACGCCCTCGGGTGCTATCATCCGCCTTTCCCTCCGCCGCTCGACGGCTCTCGTCCAGCTCTCCGGTTCCCCGCTGAGCTTTCCCCCCTCCAGCACGTTCACGGCTCGATACCCTACGATGCAACACCGCGGGATTAGCGGGAACGTAATCGTCGTGATGGCAACGCCCGCCCATCGTTCCATTACCTCCAGCCACAGCGCCACGCTGTACCCCTGGTTCTGACTCGTGACGTACTTCGTGTTGGCGTAGCACAGCGGCGCAAATTCTGCGTACAGGGCGCGACAGGTGCAGGCCAGAGACAGCGGCGTCGCGGGCCAGGGCGACTTGCTGCGCCGTTTGCTAGGCGCGACGACGTGGATTGTGTTAGATAAGGGGATGAACTTGTAGATCAGGTTGCGAATCTCTGGGGGTAGGGAGAGCAATGATGGCGATGATGGCTTTATCTTGCGAGCTGATCTCGCGCCGGGGCGGGTGGATAACTTGGCTCTGGACATATTGGACTAAAGGCCAAATCATACTAGGTAGGTATCCTGATTCAGCAATGCCGGCGCGGGAAGAGACCGTCGTAGGAATGAATGCAAGGCGTACAGTAGATGTTCTACGCTTATAGCTTCGGCTCCTATATCTTTTTTTCGCGGCGACGATATGGTGACGGGTAAAAAGTAGATACATAATCTTTAGGGGCCAGGTGTCGACCAGTGAAGCTGATGATCATCAAGCAATGACGGTTAAGCCGGGGACGGCCTAGATATGTATATATATTGAACAGCGGGTCGGGCTAATCCTGTGTCAACCAACCATATATTGAAGAGTAAGTAGCTGCGCCTCCTATTCACACAGCAGCAAGTATACTCAACTAGGCAACATTCATGCGATGGGTTTGTTGCAAAGATACATGCACCACTTAGACAAACGACACATCCAGCATGGGCATCATCGTTCAATCTAATAGAGTTACGTTAGTGATTCTTACTAACATTGATATATCTATGCAGATTATAGATTTTGGTTGACAGTCATGAGTAGATACAAAATTGATAATAGAATCGGTTGCTGTTGAATTCTGAACATACTCTTATGGGCAATATGGCAAACTTGCTCTATAGTCCGATGTGAGATGCCAACCAATTAGGGGATCAATCCTGATAGATATGATTATGACTAGAATTATGTCAGTTAAAGATCGTTGATCGACGGCTTTAGTTTAACTATACTACGGGGACTGGCCAATAAGTTGTTATATGTATGGAGGCTATGTAACATAGCTATGCAACAATCATCTTAAACCCAGCCAACCGGATATACATGCAACTCGTTGTGTATAAGCGGGCAGCTATTCGCTCAAACAACTCTACCTACATACGTTATATACTCGATCCGTTCTCGCAGAAGCCCCGCTTCCCCATCTGTACATTATAATCTTATGTCAATGGAAGATAACTAGGTACCTGCTTAGGTAGGCTGCATGGTACAACTTACTCGGCAATGCCTCATCCCCCCCCCCACCTCCGATAGACTTCATCAGGCCCCCTCCAGCACTTACACACCATGACAATCCTCTACAATCAGCGAGAAGGCGAAAAAATGGCTCATCCTCCGCCTAGCATCCCGTTCGGCGCCCCGATGCGGCACGCCCACTTCGCCTTCGCGCCGACTTACACCCCGCTGAACCACGGGTCCTACGGCACGTACCCGGTGTCGGTGCGCGCGGCCCACCAGGCGCTCCGCGACGAGGTCGAGGCGGCCCCGGACCCGTTCATCGTGCTGGGGTGGGCGGGGCGGCTGGCGCGGGCGCGCGCCCTGGCCGCCAACCTCGTGCGCTGTCCGCCCGACGACCTGGTGTTCGTGCCGAACGCGACCACGGGCGTCGCCACCGCGCTCGAGAACCTCGACTGGCGGCCCGGCGACGTCGCGCTCTGCTACGAGGTCGTCTACGAGTCCCTGCGGGCCCAGCTCCGCCGGCTCCAGGACACCCGGCCCGGCGTCGAGGTGCACACGGTGCGCGTGCCGTGGCCCGTCTCGGACGACGCGCTCGTGGGCGCCATGGTCGAGGCCGCGAGGGAGATCAATGCGCGGGAAGGCCGCCGCGTGCGCCTCGCCGTCGTCGATACCGTTGTGAGCATGCCGGGGGCACGTGTGCCCTTCGAGCGCTTGGTGCCGGCACTGCAGGCCGAGGGGGCGCTGGTCCTGGTCGATGGCGCGCACGGCATCGGCCAGATCGACATCGACCTCAGCACGCTCCAGCCGGACTTCTTCGTGACGAATCTGCACAAGTGGCTTTTTGTGCCCAGGGGGTGCGCGGCGCTCGTCGTGCCGAGGCGGCATCAGGGCTTGTTCAAGACGACGGTACCGACGCATCATTGGACCCAACCAACGGAGAAACCGGGCCAAGGCGACGATCATACGTTTGCCGATTTATTTGCGTTCACAGGTGCGGTTCCTGAAAGTAGTCGCAAGGGGTTGCACCAAGTTAGGGGGGGGAGGTGGTGGGGACTGCAAGCAGAAAAGCTGATGTTCCATAGGCACTTCGGATACTACGAATTATCTCTGCGTGCAAGGTGAGCGCCAACCAATCTGCTTACTTTTCAGAGCGCTGGGATGGGCAACATGCCCATTCTGCGTGTATTAACGCATGATACAGCGGCTCTCGACTTCCGTAACCAGGTCTGTGGCGGCGAGGCTTCGATACGAGAGTATTGTCGTTCCGTTGCGCAGCGCAGCGCAGCCATTGCCGCAGAGATCCTCGGCACGGATATTATGGACTGCCCCGGCTCAAGCCTGCGCGACTGTTTCTTTGCCAACATCAGGCTACCGCTCGAATTAGATACTGAAGATAATATAAGCAATTCAGCTTCACAACCCAGACAGGGGAAGGTAGATCCCAAGCACGCAGACAAGGTCTCAAAGTGGTTCAAGGCCACGGGGGTGAGAGAAAGCGGTGTATATTTTCAAACGATCCTTTATCGGGGGACTTGGTGGTGGAGGATTAGTGGTATGGTTTATGTAGAAGAGGCTGATTTCCGGAAAGGGGCCGAGGTTTTGAAAGGACTCTGCGAGAGGGTTAGGAAAGGCGAGCATGTGGAGACTACGGCGTCCGTTACGGATCAGCTCGAAGCTGTCGTATTAGATGACGATTAAGCGGCACTATCATGGTGTTCGTAGGTACGCGTTCTTGGGATGCTAGGCTATAGGTTTCAGTGTTGTTCCAACTTCCAACTAGTATGTTAGAGATTGAGTACGAGCACCGAGGAGGTGACCGCAATATAGTTGAGCATCTCTCAGGAGGGATGAGTTCCGGCTGGATGACCATTGCCATCGCATAAGTCCCAGAAGCACCTATTCCCTGTAAAGACGTGAATACAAAACTGTACGGTGTCAATAAAAGCAATCGTTGGGGGCGGCTCTCCTTACAGCTCAGTAAGGTTTGATACTGAGCCACACACGATCGAGAACACGGTGAACAAGGCCAAGACTTGCGCCCAAGATATGACTGAATTTAGCGTACGCGATTGAGAAGTTTAAAACACAGTCAGTAGGGTCTCCGCCAGGTTGTAGCAAAATTTCAATTTGCCAGTATGAGTAATGAGATACGCAGCGACCACCCAGTCTCTCAGCTCGAAGTCCCCCGGCGCATTCCTAATCGAGACCAGGGACGTGCGAACAATCGTTGTTTCTAGCGCGGATAGAAATAGAGATAAACATAACCCAAGCTACGGTCAGATGGTCACAGCAAAGCGCTTCATCGACTAGGAACAGTACGCGGATGTCAGAGCATATACCGGCGGGTTGTGTTGTCGGGGCCGCCCGTCGGAGCTTCAAGCTCTTGTTTGGACGTTGGCCTTCTAAGCCGGGTCAAGCATAATCCCGCCACCCTCGCCTAGGCTGACGTCCGGTGTGTTTGTAGCAGTGGGCGGGTTTCCATGCTCCCTAGCCACTCTGCTGTCGTTATAGTTCATCAACTGTCTCGAGCAATCTCTGTAGATTGTTAGGCTAAGAGCGCTCGTCCACATGGCAACAATGGCGACGATAGTCTAACAATAATGAGCACTTAGAAGAAGGAGCGGGAGCAAAAGGAAGAGAGGGAGGAAACCAAAAAAGGAGGAAAAGGAAATTCCGATAGCAGTAGGGTTCGAACCTACGAGGCCGAAGCCATAGGATATTTGGAATGAAAATTCAAGTCCTACCCATTAACCACTCTGGCATGCTACCGTAATTGGGTAAATTTGGCGCTAAATTAGTCTTATATCCCTTGAGCACTTGACTAAGCACTAACGTGACTCGCTAAGAGGTGGCACACAGTACATATACGGTGCCATGCACCTATACGGAAGAGAATGTACAAAAGCTCTTACTAATATAAGCCCGTATTACCTAAGGTTGGGTCTATATGGCAGAACTGTGGTAGTGGTCAGTGCGCAGCACGTTAATTCAGGAATCTCTGGTGGCAACTGTAATTAGGTCACCATCATCCTTACACCTCATACTCGCTATCAGAACGAAAGCTCCCAAACAGTGCCAGCCAATGCAGGTTGGAGCTGCTGCAGCACCGGCCCGCTCACGAAGAAGGAAATGTTCAATGACAATATTCGTATTTGATATTGGGTTGTTATCGCCACACTCATCCACTATGAAAACCGTCAAAAAAAGGCATACATTCCGATCAGAACTTTGAGTAGTTTGCTTGTAGATGGACCTTCTGGGATATTATTACGTGATTGGAGTTCCTCATACAGAATCTTGGACGCTTCCTGGTGCCGCCTAGCAATCTGGGACGCCAGAGACGAGAGAACTCTTTTCTGCAAGGTGCATATTCTTGTTCTTATAAGTGCAAGAGAAGTATGCTGCAGGGGTTCCATCGTTCGCTTCACTAAACTGAAGGCACTCGGCGGTGACAGTTCCTGCAAGGACGGACTTGCCAGTGTTGGGTGTAAGAGAGATGTTTTGTTTGTCGCGCTGTATCCCCTGGATCAACTCCTTCGTCTCGGTCGACTGGAAGGGCCATTTTAAGCGGTGTTGGGTCCTATTGAAAGAAGATGTCGATTCGCAGTCGTTTATCGCACCGGTCAAGGTCAAGGTTTTGTTGATGCAATTCAGAACTTTCTGCCAATCATGCACGAGCCGAATTTGGAGACTGGAGAAGTGCCCAGGAGTGGCTTGATCAACGGGCGGCGTGCTTTCTAGGTTATCTAGCTAATAGGTGCAGAGGTGGCAAGTGACGAATTGTGTAGAAGAAGAAGAGAAAACGTGCTTCACTCGGTCCGGTAGGTCCTCAACCTCCTTACGTGACTGCTTGATGCTTCTATGTTTCGATAGGCAGGGGTATTCTTATAAATACTCTAACTTACTACAATCCTGAAGAAAGATAGTGACGCTGAAAAACACGTAGATATGCTGAATAGCCTATTGGGGTGGTACCCTAATCCCAAGGGCTATGATGAATGTATATTCAACTAGCCTTTTGAGGTGTTTGTACAGCGGGGGTGGGCGCCATTGGTGGCGAGGGTGTGGATTACTTGTCTTGCTAGTCATAATGTTATACAGACTGGATTATGACTGAACTCGAATCATAGCATGTGTAAGACTGGTATTGTGATAAATGTTTAGATCGTAGTGAACCTAGTCATAATATGCTCATCTTTCTGTTCAAGGCCTTACCATAGCCTATGCTTTCTAACATTGCTTTCATATACTTATCTCAAGTAACTTTACGGTGTGGTTTAAGGCTGCAGAAACTTAAGGGGAAACCAAAACACTGGGAACTTAAAATTTTTATTTAATAACTCAGCAGTACAGGACTATGTCCTGGATTTTTGGAGTCTCACTATTTTCCGTATATTTTTCATTTACATTCATATTACTGAGCAAATCGAAAGGCGGTCACTTGAAAAGGGCGAGAGTGGTTCTAAGTGTAACCCTCCATTCAAGAGCACCAAAGTATGTATATCATAGTTGTATTGACAAATGGTGATGATATACATCCAAGTTCTCAAGCACACGGCCGTGGTGACTGGCATTGCTCAATACCCATCTACCCCTAGACTCTACCCATTCCACCAAGTTGGCTCGATCCGAAGCCAGCTAAGTTAGACTATAGCTGGCACTTAGTTCAGGTCGAAGTTGGGTTCGCCCTGGTAGCTCTCGACCTGGGCATTAGGCTGGGTACCCGAAACAATCTGGTCCTTGGGGATCAAGTGGGAGCCGCTCTGGTCGCTGGACGGGGTGACCGGCTGCTTGACAGTCAAGGTCAGGCCCTCGGCGCTGCGCTTGACGGTGAAGGTCCGGGACGAGTTCTCGCACTTGCCCTGGCCCTCGGGGACATCAGGCAAGGAGTTGTTGCTGGTGAGCATGGCGCTGCACTTGACAGGGGTGGTCTCCATGGTGCCCGGCTGGAGGACGCCGAAGGAGTACCTAAAGATGCATGGGTTAGATCTCTGATAAAGTAGCGCAAAGGATACATCACAGCCTTCACTCACTGGCATTGGCTGCTGTGCGGGATGCAGCTAGCGCTGAAGTCGGAGACCTTGAAGACGGCCTCGCGCTTGTTGATGGCCGCAGCGGAGGCGGCAGCGGCAAAGAGGACGGCGGAGAACTTCATTTTGATGGGGGTTTATGCAAGGTTTTGAATGAACGTAGATGTTGTGATGATTGTTAAACGAATGTCTGATGTTGTGATGCTGAATGCAAATAGCCTCATCGGACAGCAGCAACGAGAGTCTTTATACCCGAATCCATCAATACCTAATTGGTCTATGGAGATATGCAGAACAGTCAATGCTTGGCCCCTGAAACAAACCCATCTCGTATTGAGCAACCCATGGAGAAATTGCACTCCATTTTCCCCTTCGTGTTCCCGGGGTTTGTTGGTTATCGGTGTTCTAACAATACGTCAATACGTCACCTATGGAAAGAAATAAGGTTAAACGGGCGCTATTTTAGTCGGTTTGCCAGTGGGTCGGTCGGTATTCAAGCGATACATGTAGGTACATACTATCATGCATAGGACTGCGAAAGAAGTCGGTGAAGGCCTCACTTTAGTGCGTGTTATAACGTCTCATCGGGTAAATTGGGTAGACTCCTTCGCCACGATATTTACAACACCAGATCTCCACAACCAGACCGTACCAAACATAAGAGTGACAGGCGCTGGTTAATTACGTAAGGACGAAATAGAAGCTTTATCAATAGCCTATAACGCCTGGAGTGATTACCGAAAGCGATTGTTACGTAAGACAACACAAACCAGAGCTTTACGCAGTACATATGTATATTCGGAATGCATTTCCTTATCGAGATTGCTCTTCGGGAGTATCCCTGGCTAATTGTATGAACCTTCGAAGCGTATTGCATTGCAAAAGCCTATTACCTGTAATTAACACTCCACAGTACCATTATTTCAGGACTACAGTCACAGGGATAATTATTGTTAGATTAGGGTCAGGCATCTATACTACACGTGTAATCAGGTGTGGTCAACAGGTATTACTCACCTGATTTTTAGTGAGGAGTACTTTGACTTGACCGATAATCCCTTTGATTATGGAGAATACCACTAACATCCGTTGATTTCGTATAGTGATCTAAGTTGCTTCGACGCATTTCTCTAAATAAAATTGCCTAACAATTACTTTTCCGTGGCTGGTTGGTGTAGGTGCCTGATGCTGATCTAACAATAAGTCTTCTTGTGAGTTGCGTGTACTGTGTTTCCGTCTAGTTAGAATACCTACATCGCGAATTCGCGAATGTCGATAAGTCTCGGGTAGTACATTAACTAGCCTTCAATTATATAGCTAGAAATTTACCCATTAATGGGAATAAGCCATAAGCCATCTACATATCTCCTTCGTTATTGCGAACCGAGACTAGAATGCTAGACCGTAAGTTCGCATGGACTCGCTGATATTGCTTATACTATTCGGCTACCAATTAGTACAGTCTTACCAACAATCGTTGGCTGTTGCCTTTCCATATGCATTATGCTGGATTTTCTATTCCAGGGGGCGAAGATGGCATAAATTTGTGTTGAGAGGTTATCATAACCAGCTACCTCCATTGCGATCTCAAATCGTCCATGAGTGGAAATCCGTAATTCAGAAGATATACCGTATTGTAATATCCTACACTTAGTCCAGCTACTTGTCGATATCAAGCACGTTGTAAAATAACAGACATCGCACCCTACTGTAGTATAAAGCCACAACATCAATGCAAGCCCGCTGACACAGATATCAAAGACTTATAGAATTCTGGAATATTCTCTGCAGCCTCCAAGTCTGCGCTACTGATGTTTCTGATAAGAAAGGGTTGTAAGTCTGGTGCCCCTCATGACGTTATGATTCTCGAGATGTCCTGTTGCATATAAGGAATCGATCGATAAAGAACCAATAACCCCCAGATCTGAAGGCTTGTGTTGTAATGTTTCAATTTCATCGGCGTTGAACTCGCCGTTGATGCTTCTGACGACCCCTGAGGATTTCAAGGTATTGGTTCTTGGTTCATTGGTTTAGACACAATGCTGAACTGTCAATAACCTAGTCCCACGTACCTCAGGTCACTTAGCTAGGGCTCCACGGCACCCACAACTCTCCTCCTCCTGTTCCTGCTCTTCTTCCTCCTCCTTCTCTTCCTCCTCTCTTTCTCCCTCCTTCTCTCTCCTTCATTATCACACACGCATACGCACATAGCCTCAGACAGATATCTAAGAGGATATTATAGGCCCTGTTAAACATTATTCCATACACAGCCAGAGGCACCGCGTATTTGTTCCTAGTATTCCATCATATGAACTCTTTGTTTACTAACCTCCATCTTCAACACACCATCTGTTATAGTTATGAACCATCCGAGAAAATTCCTACATATGCTTAGACTATCTAACGCCCAGTAGAAATCTCCGGATGTCCCACCTCAAATATCACATCATTTCGATTATACGTTATCTGACATCTGAACAGCTACGACTACTATGTACGTGGATTGAGGACGAAACATTACCTGGTTACACAGGTCAGTAGAAGCTTGGTTACGAGAGAATTATATGTATATGCAAAGAAAGTTGAGAGATGAGTACCTCCAGATGTTGGAATGACTTCGTAATGGGTATGTATTAATCCTACTTCTAGAGTGATGGCTGGAGTGCCCGTCAACGGAAGGGAAGAAAATATGTCGAAGCTAGGCCCTACCATGATCAATCAAGGCAAGTATCTATGGAT